TGAAATTTGGCGAGCAAACTACCAAAATAGTTATGAAGATATTGCATACCTTGTTGATAACATAAATAACAAGACCTCAGTGTTTTCTGGAGCATTAAAGCGATTGATAAGTCTTTCTCTTTCTTGGGCAGACGTGTTTCCATCTAGCCCTGCAGATAGAACAAGTACATATCACTACAACAACACATACTTCCCAGTAATTATCTACCATATTCTAAATATATAGCACAATCTGGTTAAAGTTGTCTGACTGACTTGTACATGTATATAACATTTAGATCTACAGTCAAACCTCCCATAAGTGACCACCCAAAATATCAAGCCTAGGTGGTTGCTTACGGGAGGTGGCAAAAGAAAACATTAGTACCACAAGAAGAATCTTGGAAGCTTTAATAAATAGACAGAGGTTCAGATGGAAATCTGTAACAGGAATAAACACACAGTTTTGGGTCTTGAGTGTTGGGGAACAGGAAAGGAATGGTGCATTGGTGAGAGCAGAATTCAGGCAAATGAAATGAATTAGAAGAACGAACACAAACCTGCCAAATTGATTGTTCTATATTGACGCCAAAGTTCCTTAAATGCACTGTGCCTCAAGGCACAATTCTAGGCCCGCTTTTATTCTTACTCTATATTAATGATTCACTGCAGTGCCTTCATTTTTCCCATCCTCAAATGTATGCTGACAATACCAGCATTACTTATGCAGGCAAAGATTTAAACGAAATTAATGGTTGTCTCAACAAAGATTTAAAATCTGTCAACACCTGGTCGTCTTCTAATAAGCTCACATTGAACCTAAGACCGAATTCTTAATATTAACCCCAAGGCAAAAGCAAGTTTACTAGTCAGACAATCCATCTCTTACCATTAATAATTTTCCCATTGAGCAGGTGTCTTCAACAAAATCTCTCGGTGTATACATCGATGAAAATTTAAGCTGGAATACCCACATTGAAAGTGTTTGTAAGAAAATTTCTTCAGCTTTAGGCTTAATTAAGCGCATTAGAAATTTTGTACCACTATACACTCTTTTTTGAACATCTTCAACGGTTTGGTAATGCCCCAGTTTGACTACTGCAGCTTAGTATGGGGATGCTGTAGTACAAGTTGNTAGTTAACATATGGTAGTATAAATGCACGGTATAGCGATTCCTTAGTATTAGGTGGTAAAATATTCTTCAGTCTGTTCAGAGCACTTATCTGGGCACTAACTTTGCCCCTAATAGCCCTAAGATCACTAATACCTTTAATATCCTTAATACCCCTGCTTACTAGTAATACCCCTCATACCCATAATAACCCCTATTACCCCTAATACCCCTAATACTCCTGATTACCCCTAATACCCCTAATACTTTTAATATCCCTAATACCCCTACTACCCCTAATAAAGTGATCTATCTATCTTTCTGCCCAGAATACTCGGGATCACCTCTGGAGGTGGTCCACTTATTTCGGTCAGAAAATTGCGACCGAAATTTCGCCGTTCCATTTTTGACAAACTGGTTATTTGCCCTAATTAGGGAATTCGGGAAAGGAATGAAAAATGGCAAGGGCCATTCTCATTGGTCAGAGTTTAATTGGAAAATGTCATTCCTTTTTCCTCAGGCATTTCCACTGATCGCTGACTGGTCGGTTTGGCATAATGAAAGCACCCCAGGTTCTCACTTTTAAATTCCAATTTGATCTTGAAACAGAGGACAAAGAGCATTTCTGTGGTACATGTATGTGCCTTTGCAAATTTCTAATATATACTTTATTATATATATATTATATAGATAATATATTATTATATATAATAATATATTACTATTTAATATATATATTATTTACTATATATATATTTTATTTTAGTTTTTTTCCTTACTAAAATAGCTCTTGTTCTTGGCCCATCTAACTGGCTTCAGTGGATCAGCGACCCGCCCAGGATAGAATGGTATATCACACTTTGAAAGGAATTCCTCTATCACACTCAAGGTGGACAAGCTTTGACTGGAAAACAATAAAAACCGATTCAAAAAAAAATCTCTAAGATTAAGAACAGTAGGTCTGAAACAACTGTAGAACATTGATTAAAAGAGAACAAGCGCTGGCTTTAGCAAATGTTTTCTATGTGGAGGTACTGGCGACAGGAGCTTCATTATGGTCTGGGCATCAGGCAAAATTGACTGGCTGTGAAGATGGTTTTGTCCACCTAGTATGACCATTTGGAGGAAAGTTTTTTCCCTATAAAGAAGTTTAGTTCGAAACAATCAGCTTGCCTGTGAAAACCAATTGCCATCCTGAAACCCCCATGGAGAGTTAACAAGATTTACCTTGCACTAAAACTAACTTATCATGGCTGTTAGTTTGTCAAATATTTACTAAGAAGGGTTTGTGAATGTTTGCACACCATGATGCAGTTAAAATTTGAAACATCTGTTACACATTTTGTGTAACATCTCTGCTAGTCTCACCTAAATATGAGGATTTTCTCTCCTTGTTTTAAACTCTCCTCAATGATCTCCATAAGCACAACAAGCTTGCCACCATTTTTCATCACTCCAGGTTGATAATCCTTGAACACATTCTTGGCCTGAACATCAAGAAATTACAGAGCTTATTTCAAAGAAAGCCTTGTTTTCTTGAACAGCTTTTCATTTGCATTGAGTGTTAAACATTTAGAATCAAATGTATTCCGAAATTGCTCAACTGATAAAGTGATCAACTCACCCATGCCATATCTTCAACAAAAGCAGAACTGCGGTCAGCCGGCATGACCACTTGTTGAGTGACAAGTGCAGGACAATCACTTGTGCTTGTGGTAGCTTGCGTTGTTGTTGTTGACATGGTTACAGTCTGTCCTGCGAGTTGATAGGACACCATTTGCTGTAACTGCATCGTCGACCTCACCACTGCCTGGGTAGCAAGTTGGGAACATGCAGGTACAGGTTGTACATTTGCCGTCTGTGTATTTGTTGATGATGGAAAGTAAGGAGATCGCTGGGATGCAGAAGACTGATTCTGTGAGATGACGGCAGTTGCACTTGAAGGAGAACCACCTCTGTCAGCTGATATGGAATTTTGTGTTGTTCCATTTGAGTCATCAGTGATTGTCTGAAGGAAATCAGTAATAAGCTGTTTAGACAATTTTCAAGATTGGCTAAGATTCCTTTATGGACTCCAATATTTTGCTCTTTGTCCATAACATTGTGAAGGTTGGAAACATGACAGTTATATGTGAGAAACATGTAACCATTAAACACATAAGATGGACAGCTGTAAAACATGTTCTCACCTAACCTGTCCTTCCATAAAAACACAAAGAATTTTGTTTCAATTTATAGAATAAAAGGGACATTCAGTCGGAATACAGATACTGTACAGGATTGAGTGCAAGCATGCTTCTTGAATTTCAAACCAGTGACGTTTCCAGAGCCCTCACTGTTCATGTTGGTTTTAGGAAGAGTGGGTACATGTAGCTCATGGGATGAGATGGGTATGATGTGATAATGTGACTCATGCAGACTAGAGCTGAAGAGTTGTTCTCTTACTCAATCTTGTACCCAAACTCAAAGCTTAAATCCAGTAAAAACTTATTGAAAACTACAGGATAATTTGTCAAAGCAGTGAAGTCATCTTATTGAAGAAAAGGTTTTTCTTGGGGTTGGGGTTATTTTTTCATACACAAAAGACATTCTTACCAATGGTGACTCATTCCTGTCACTATTTTTCATATTCAAAGAGTGATAAAAAATGTCAGGATGGTTCCAGATCTGTAAAGGAATGGAAAAGATACAAAGTGTATGATAAATATATGTTGTCTCCTGGGCATAATAGACACCAGACAAAACAAAAATGACATAACAGTGTAATAAAATACCGCGTCTTTTTACAAGTGACAATGAGTCTAGACTCAAACTGGCTACAACTAAGAAAAGCTAAACATAAGGCTGAAGAAAAAGCTCTTGAAACTGTCAAATAGTTAGCCTAAACTAGACATTTTGGGCTTTTCAGTTTTTTGTCATAATGTCACACATCACCTGAGTTTTTTGCTCATTTCTACAACTAGAAAAACTGTTTAAAAGAAACTGACGCACCTTGGTACATGTGTGGAAACCCTTTATAGGGTTGATGTAACCGACTGAGCCCAACAGCCGTTCAACAAATGTGTTGTAGAGTTCTCTCTGAATAGGAGACATGTTCACTAAAATGATATGCTCTTCTTTGGATGGAAGGCACTTCTTCAGGACCACTTGACTGCGTCTAAATTGATACAAACAAAGAGGTTTTCAATACAGACATTCCACCACAAGCAGGTAAAGGTAAGGTAAGGTAAAGTCTGCATATGAGCCAAGTGGCCCATCAGANCCCCCCCCCACCCCACATGGATGGTATGCTAGTCCATTGCATGTTTACCACCAGCATTAAATTCACTGATACCCATTTGTACACCTAGGTGGAGAGAGGCATTGTGACGGTGAAGTGTCTTGCCAAAGAACACAACACAATGCCCCTGGCCATGGCTTGCACCCAGACCACTAAGATGAAGCCACCACCCCTCCAAATGCAGACACCTTTGTTATCGCTTGTGAATAAGACAATAAACTGAATAATTTCTATCTACAGTGTACTGTACATATAATGACAATAGTCATAAAGCAACTACTGAATAATGTCTGTTACAGTCTAACTCACCTCTGTACAAAACCTTCTAGCAAGCTGTGAAGTACATGGGCTCTATATCTCATCACCCTCACATCCTAAACAGGATGAAAACAAGTACAATTGTAGGTAGGTGGCTGTATTGTTGGAGTAGACAGGAGTTTCATTGACATTTTCAGCAAGAGGGCAACTGGCTTTCACAGATGGGAAAAACTGTTTGAACTGAACTTCTTTGTAAGAAAAACTTTCCTCTAGATAGGTTAAACCAAGTGGGCAAAATCATTCCTACAGCCAGTCAGTTTGCCCAGTGCCTGGCCCTTAGTGAAACCATGAGTACAGCTGTAGGTGGCTCATTCTGCAGAGTGAGCACTTCCGTCCAGGCATAGATTTCTTTGTAAAATTGGGGTGCCTTATTTCCATGAATTTGCAAGTTAGAAAATAAATTCTTATGAAACTTTGCATGCCAGTATTTACTAAATTTGGCATGACAAATTGAGTAGTGAGGCTTAATTCTTGCTTGAATGAAAACGATCTGAAAAGGATGACATCGTGGAAATGGTCCAGGGAAAAATGTTCAATTAAGATATTTCTTTGGTTAAAGCTTTTACATGAATGGTCATCCACAGATTACATAAAAAGAAAAATATTAATTTACATAATTTTTGACTCTGGAAGTAAGCTAAATGACGAAAATTATTCACAGAGTAAAACAATGCTTTTTTTACTTACAGACGGTGTGCTGTCAGAGCACTGTCCATTGAGTATTGGCCTTTCAAACATGTTGCAAAACTCCTGTTTGGTTCCTAGAAAGTTGGGTCGCACAAAGTCAACCATGCACCAGTACTCTTGAAGGTTGTTTTGTAGAGGGTAACCAGTTAACACCACTCGACGTCTGGAAAAAAAAAATCATACAGTTATGCAGTTGATGAGGATCACACTGTAAACATTTTAGCATTCTGGCACATGAAGTAAGTTCGTACCTTGTATGGATTTTTTTCAAGGCCTGTGAAATATTTGCCTGGTCATTTTTAATCCTATGCCCTTCATCACAAATGACAAGATCAGCTCCTGGTCTGCAAAGAGCCTTCTGGACTCCTGAGGAAACAAACAATGAAGTTAAGGGGAAAGAGCCACAGGGCTAATGTCACTGCTATTTCCATGAGATTTCTGACTTGTATTTATCATAAAGTACTATTCAAATGACTTTGAGTTTACAAG